CCCCCCCGCGACTCTAGTGAAGATTAAGTGGTGTAGATAATGGATGGATGAATCTTGTAATCCACCCTTGATGCCCCGTCACCCCCTCTTTGGAAACCACTGGTCTAAAGATGTCACATCATAGCAAACTGTTTAGATACAGAAGTCAGAAGTGGATGTTGTAATACAGGTATTACAAGGTCTCCAAGGTGAACGCCTCTGGCACATTGGAGCAAGGCAGATAAGGGACGTCAGCAAGTTGAATGCGTAACCTCGGGACAAGGATTGGCTCCTGGCCAACTTGCCGACTTCCCTTACCTGCCTTGTTCCAACGTGCCAGAGGCGTTCACCTTGGAGACCTGCTGCAGATATGGATACGGCCTGGTGTGAGATTTATACCACCTCCCCTGGATTTTCAAGGGCCAATACAGATATTACAAAGTCCACAGACATCCAAACGAGGTTCTGGCCAGATGTTCAGGTACTGAACCTTTATGGAACGTCTCACAAACGTCCACAAGAGGGTTTGCAGCAAAAGGATGATAAACAGTATAAATGTCTCTCCCGCGTTGATGTTTCCAGAGACAAACGTACTGAGACCAACCCAATGTTGGTCATTTCATTGGATTTTTTTCATTATTTGGGACTATTTGGTGCCTTAATGTCATTAAAAACTTGTATGTTCTGATTTTGTTACCCTTTACAGGATAAACTGACTTGAGCTGACTCAAGTCTTCAATAAAAAAAAAAAAGTCTTTACCTTGCCCCTGTTTGAGAATTTCACAATAATTCACCCGTTATCACGTCAGTGACCAGCAGCTTGTAATAAATCATTAACGACAGTGTCTGTAGAAAGTATTTACCCCCTTGCAGTTGTCTCCTTTTCAACATATTTGAAAGAATTTACAAAAAAAAAAAAAAAAATGTTCATGTCAAAAATAATAAGAACACCTACACAAACTCTCAACCACAATCTGACAAAATCCTTTTTTTGTCACTGCCCTGTTACCTTCTCATAGTAACAGTCACAATGGCTACAGGCACAAGGTATTTGTGCGTTCAACACTTCTGATATACTTTGGATAAAATAATTATGAGACTTTTGGTCTGTAGCTAAATTATGCAGTGATGAGATCTCTACAAAGTTATGTCAACTTATTAAAAATGTAAAATGTAAAACAAATGACTGCATAAATATTCACTCCCTTTAAAGTGGCTTGCTTAATTCAATACTGGTGCAGCTAACTCATGCTAAATGAGATCATCTGAATCACTGGTGATCAGTACTCTTAGCTATAACTACACCATGAAGACAGAAGAACACTTAAAGCAACTCCATGAAAAGTTTATTAAAAAGTATAAGTCAGGGGATGGATACAAGAACATTTCCAAGTCACTGAATACTCCTTGGAGTACAATTAAATCTGTCATTAAAAAATGGATCTGACATGGCACATGTGCACATTTGCGTGACTGTGCAAGAAATGGACTAACGTGGGAGGCCACCAAGACAACTATGAAGGAGTTAAGATTCAGTGGCTGAAATGGGAGAGGTTGTCTATGCAACAATTGTTGCCTGTTCTTCACCAGTCAAAGCTTTATGGGAGAGTGGCAAGGAGAAAGCACTGTTGAAAGAAGCCCATAGTAGCTTTACAGAAATGGCTTAAAGACAGCAAGGTAAATGTTCTGGAGGGGTCGAGTCACAGCCCAGACCTCAGTCCAACTGAGAATTTGTGGTTGTACATAAAAAGGGCTGTTTAACCTGACAGAGCTCGAGCTATTTTGCAAAGAAGAATGGCGTAAAATTAGCGTCTAGACGTGCAAGGCTGATTGTGACCAATGTAGCCAGGCTCAGTGTTGGAATTTGCAGCCAAAGGTGTATCTACTAATACTGGCTAGAGGGGGTGAATGCTTACGCCATCACTTATTTGAGATTTTATGTTTTTTTAAATTAATTGACATTAATTTGTTGAAATCTATTTTCACTTTGACATTAAGAGTCTTTTTTTTTTTTTTGCAAATTCATGTAAAAACTAATAAACTAATTTAAATTGACCACAATTTAATGTTGAAAAGCAATAAAAGGATCAAACCTCTAAGCTGGGTGAATACTTTTTATAGGCACTGTATGTAAACAATTTTTTGTGGAAATTCAACTTTCTACAATAAATATTCATACAGTCATAAATATTTGTATAAAGCAGTCCACATTTAGTAGGCAGAGTGATTTACACTAATTAAAACTATTGAACACTAGGTCCTTCATTTCAAGTCCACAGTATTTCTACAGAGCAGCAAAATTGCGATAGTTTTGTCAAAACATAGACAAAAATATATATAATTTAATGTCATATAAAACTGCAATAATTACTTAATGAACACTGTGTTGTGCTTATAGTTTTGTGTAAATGTAATGTCCTGTCTGGGTCAAAGCACAATAACCTGGCTGTCTTCTTTCAGGTCGACACGACGAGCATCTCCAAAGGTGATGAAGACCCCAAGACCGGTGACATTAACTAAAGTGATGAGAGAGAAGACTGTGGTCCACGACAGGGTGACCTCAATCACGTAGCCTGACACGGAGACCAACACCAGCCCTGTGCAACACGTGAGGACAGCAGATTTAATTTAAGCTCAGTACCAGTTTTTAACAATTTACATTCTTCAAATTCAGATTCAATTTCTGACAGTGACAACATACCCATCAGAGCGCCCATCATATTCATAAAACCTGTTGCAGGAAAAGAAAATTAATGAAATGTCTATCAATAAAAAATTCTTAATAAAAAGAAAAAAGAAAAGCACAATTTTGATGAAATTGCTGCTAAAAACTCACCGTAGAGGGCTCCTGCACATGATGGGGTTAGATCTTGTACATTCACAGCCACACCACTGAAATGAGAAAAAAAAAAAGCATATTCAACAACATTATTTCAAATTCACTACTTTATAACATCACAAAAAGTGCCTGGATTTACAAAGGAAATCATGCTCCTGGTTTTCTATATTCTTCTTACTGTCCTGTCTAAAGACTAAACCAACAACAAGTGGATGCTACTAACAAGCACTGCATCCAAAGTCTGATATATTTCATCCTTCTGTGCCACAGAGTGCTGCTGTTTTGCAGAAATGGTTAAAAACGCATCAGTAATCGACGCTGTGCGACTTGTTCCTTCACTGCAATTAATGTGGTCACTGTAGTTTCTAATGAACCAATCGTACATACTACATACAGTTAGGTCCGTTAATATTTGGACAGAGACAAAGTTTTCCTAATTTTGGTTCTGTACAGTATCACAATAAATTTTAAATGGAACAATTCAGATGCGGTTGAAGCCTAGACATTCTGCTTTAATTCAGTGGGTTGAACAAAAAGAATGTGAGGAACTAAAGCATTTTTAAACACAATCCCTTCATTTCAGGGGCTCAAAAGTAATTGTACAAATTAAATTACTAAAAATGAAATGTTCTTTTCTAATTCTTGGTTGAAAACCCTTTGCTGACAATGACTGCCTGAAGTCTTGAACTCATGGACATCACCAGACGCTGGGCTTCCTCCTTTTGAATGCTCTGCCAGGCCTATACTGCAGCAGTCTTTAGTTGTTGTTTGTTTGTGGGCCTTTCTTTCTGAAGTTTAGTCTTTAACAGGTGAAACGCATGCTCAGTTGGGTTGAGATCAGGTGACTGACTTGGCCATTCAAGAATATTCCACTTCTTTGCTTGAATAAAGTCCTGGGTTGCTTTGGCTATATGTTTTGGGTCACTGTCCATCTGTACTATGAAATGCCACCTAATCAAGTTGGCTGGATTTGAGCCAACAGAATGTCTCTGAACACTTCAGAAGTCATCCAGCTGGTTCTGTCCTGTGTCGCATCATCAATAAACACTAGTGATGCCAGCCATGCATGCCCAAACCATCACACTGCCTCTGATGTGGTATGCTTTGGATCATGAGCTGTACCACACCTTCGCTGTACTTTTTTCTTGCTATCATTCTTGTAGAGCTAGATCTTGGTTTCATCTGTCCAAAGAATGTTCTTCCAGAACTGTGCTGGCTTTTCTTTTAGCTGTTTTTTTAGCAGTCCAATCTAGCCTTTTTATTGTTGAGGCTAATGAGTGGTTTGCACCGTGCAGTGAACCCTCTGTATTTACTCTACTGCAGTCTCTTTATGGTAGACTTGGACGATGACACGCCTACCTCCTGGAGAGTGTTTTTAACTTGGTTGGCTGTAGTGAATGGGGTTTCTCTTCAACATGGAAATAATTCTGTGATCATCCACTACTGTTGTCTTCTGTGGGCGTCCAGGTCTTGTTGTGTTGTCAAGTTCACCAGTGCTTTCTTTCTTTCTCAGGATGTACCAAACTAGATTTTGCCACTCCTAATATCGTAGCAATTTCACGGATGGGTTTTTTCTGTTTTCACAGCTTAAGAATGGCTTGTTGGTACATGGAGAGCTCATGAAATGGCCTTTGAATCCATTGTCCAATTACTTCTGGTACCTCTTAAAATAGGGTGGGACACGTTAAGGAACTGAAACTCCTAAACCCTTCATCCAGTTTGAATGTGGATATCCTCAAATGAAAACTGAGAGTCTGCACTTTATGTCCATGTCCATTATTTAACTATAGTTGGAATATGTTTCACTGAACAGGTAAAAAAGCAAAACTTGTGTCAGTGTCCAAATATATATAGACCTAACTGTGCACTTGTAAAAGAAATAAAATAAAAAGTTCACCAAATGTATATTTATCTGTTACCTAACAATAAAATAAAACCATTATTTACACCTGTTTAAAGACTCCTCTGGTGAAAATCCATTTTTAAAAACTTCTTTGATATGTCCATATTCTTTTTTTATGTGCAACAACAACTCAAAAACTCAGATTTAGACTCTCAGGGTTCCATGCATAACAAACTTGAAGAACCAGTTGGACAACTTACAGGTTGGGCCTTTCTGTGTCATTACCCTTCTTCAGAATTAGTTTCTGGTACAAACGTGTACAGGCTTAATTACTACAATTTTGTTATTGTTGACAGTAACAGAAGTGTAGAAAAAACACCAGCACTCTCGAGAGCCAGGCTGATATTTTCGCCAATATCAGCTCCTTTCAGATATTCTGTGTTGATGTGTATTTTAGCCTATGAGTTGGGGGTATGTCAAAAACTTAAACAGGAGCACAACGTCTATGTTGAAGACAGTGAGTGCTTTAGCAATCGAGATAACAGAGGTGGTGACGGAGAGTTTGTGAACGTCTCTTTTACTGTCACTCTTGGTTTTCATTCAGCAAGCCCAGTATTTCACATAACTACCACAGAATGTCACTGGGTGTGTAACTGACTTTGCTGGTCAACTGCATCCCTCTGCTAACAACTAGTATTTGTACTCATTCACATTCCTAAGGAACCTTTGAGCAGGCTTCACATTCCTTTTAACATGTTAATCACATATACAGCTTTGTCATAGAAGTTATTGAGGTCAAAGTGACTTCTGACCACCAACATCCACTCAGTTAATTGCTGAGTCCAAATGAATAAATTTGAAGACTCTTGAAGCATTCAAGAGACATTGTTCATAAGTATAGGATGCATGAACAGACATATGCTGGTACAGATAGAGGAACAACCTGAAGACATGATACCATAATGGCTATATCTTTGGGTTTTAATGGGAAGACTATGAATTGTTTTGTAGATTTTGTACTTTTGATTTACAAAAAAATAAAATAAAATAAAAAATTAAGAAAAATATACAAATATAGGTAAATCTGGCCTCCTGAGCTCTCTAAAGTCTTGTTTATGGGAGGTGTTCCTAGTGGAGACGACATTGGCACTTATTTTTGTCAGGCCCTCTGCACCTAAAATAAACCTATTCTATTACCCAGAGAGCACTGAGAAGTCGATTTTTTTTAGTCATGAAACACTTCTCATTAACTAGGGGATCTCTGTCACAACAGTTTGCTGTGTGATGATGGTGTGTTGAAACATTTCTAAAATACTGCTGTTTAATGTTTTTAGGTATTAATATCAGCTTCATCAGGCCAGTATTTGTTGAGCCATATTTATTTCCTGTAGCAATTACTAAATGTAGTAGATGATTTATTATACATAGAGATGGAATTACTCATCATTAATAATCCAACGTACCTGCTGGTAAAGGTGGATAAACCCGTGGCAGTAGAAATAAAAATCACTGCAGAGCGAAATGTGATGTCTCCAGACAGAGGCATTATGAACATACTGGACACCCCCATGGCGAAAAGCTGGGGCGGGAGAGAGGGAGAGGCATGCAGATGAGAGATTTAAAGACACAGTCCAAAATCTGAAAGTAAAGAAAAGTGATGCCACATAAAACTTCTTACTTACAAAACTTAATCCTAGTTTTTGATGTGCTTCATTTACTTCTTTATTTATCTATACAACAAATACCTGCACTTTCTGATGGTACAGAACAATTACCAGGTGCTGCATTTAAAGAGCACCAGTTTTGCATTGTTTTGTGTATTTTACAAGGGCTTACACGTACACTGCTCATAATGCAAAAATATATCTGCTGCCAATGGAAAGCTTCCAGGCTTGTAATTATATGTTTGAGACAGGCATTTTAAAAATTCAACAAGAGCATTCAAGTAGCTGGTTGGAACAAATGCATCACTACAAGCACACTTTGAGCAGCAGCTGCACAATCACAACAGTGTTGCCATACTCACCTGCATTATCTTTCTCACAGACGCTACACTATATCCTACAGGAAAAACATAAAAGATGTAGACATTTTCTTAAATGAAATATGTTCTTACTGACATTAAAACACGTACCACAACAATAGAAAAATGGGACTTATCTGACACCTTGGCTGATGAGGAAATCCGAAACATATCCTCCACCAAGTGCTGATGGAATTGCAGTTAGCCATGGAATTACATTGTATATGTACGCCTGCAAGAACAGAAAGGCCCAGGGACAACAAAAAGGTTTTTACATGGAATTTAAACAATGCAGCTGACGTTTGGCTGTCTGAAGAGTGGATGAAAGCTGAGACTAGGTTACAATGCATCATGTGTATTTGCTAAATACCAGCATATGGTCATAATACCGAGGCATGAGGAAATGATTCCTTGAAGTACGTTGGCAACCATGACAATATAGTGTAGGACGTGCTGCACATGCACATGTGAGTAAACACCATGGCCCTTAGATAGAAGACAAACAAAGAGAGATGAAGTCAGACTGCTGGGATCACATAATCATGTAGTGGTGAATAATGAAGGATTAAAAGGACATGTACCAGACAGGTGGCTTCTTAAACAGACTCAGCCAGCGTGTACTTGACAAACTCCACTGTGAGTCATTTTTCATCTTCAACTGCTTCAGGGAAAAGTCACCTAAACCACACATTAAACAATATATTAAACTGATGTATACGGTGTGTAAAGTACAATGTGGCTTTCTTAACTTTTTTTCCAAAACAGAAACAACATTTATAAAGAACCTGATTAACCTTTTTTGTGACGTTTTTAATTTCAGTAATATTCTCACTTACTGTGGACTCATTTTTCACTACAATATAAAGTTCTGTATCTCTATGGAAACAGTACCATTGCTAGCAGCAGACAGAGCTCATAAATGTATTTTGTGCAGTATGACACAAGTATAATGCCATGAATCATGTTCGTGTGCTTTTTTTTATTTAACAAAAACTAAAATAATCATTTTTAAAAAAGGAATCAACATGCACGACACTTTTCCAAGTGCCCACAGGTGGTACTGATATTGGAAGACACAAGATGGATCTTTATCGTACATATATTTTACAAAACATTTAAAATTTGTTTTCATATGTGTCTCCTCTGTGCTCTGCATGAACACAGCCTGTAGTTGAGCTGGAATATCCCTGAATTTTTATCATGTTACTATTGGCTTCTCAGTTGTACAGATTACAATCTTAAGAAAAAAACACAGTACAGCTCCACCAAGAGCCACAAAGGAAGAGTCAGAAAACTGTCACTGAAAATGGTCATGGTGGTTTAAAAATGATTTCAAAAGCTGTACAAGATATCAGAATAATGTTGAGAGGAGCATACATCTGTGTAATTAATTTAAGAATGCACTTTAAATGTATATTTGCTGCTACATCATCTCACTGATGCTGCTTCATGTAAATAGACAATATTCACCTTAGTTTCTGTCTCTTTTTATTTTTATCTATTTATATTAATGTTGTTTTTTTAAAATATTAATATTCTTTGTTATGTATATGGGAGCATGCAAACTAAACAATTTCATTGCACAGTGTTAAACTGCTGTTTTTTGGGGGGTTTTTTGTCTTTATGTCAGTCCATCCATAAGTTGTCAACAGATTCCTTTAACAAATCACCAAAGTATGCACGGTTCATCATCTTGGAAACAAGACAGTTTGAAAAAAAAAAACAAAAACAAAAAAACACTGCTCTTGAAATCAGTAGTATAATAGTCCACTCAGTAGGTGAAACCAGAATTAGCTGATAGATCACTGAAGTCATGAGGATTCATCCTATGGGGACCATGACTTTCTGTACAAAATTTCATGGTAATCCAGCCAGCAGCTGTTGAGATATTTCCGTCTGGACTGACTGAATGAAACTACAATGACTTCTCCATCCTCTGCCCAGATCATTCAGGGCAGTGGGAGTAAAAACGTCACTTACATGTTGAACCTTTCAATAAATACTGCCACACTATCAGTGCCCACAGTCCAGCCAGGACACCAGTGCTGTAGAACATGCTTTCCCAGCCATACTGGTCGAGCATCAGGGACCCCATCCCTCCCGCTAACAACGTTCTGAAACAGCAGCAGAGAGCAACAAAAAAAATTAATAAAAAGTGGTGTCATCAGTGATAAATATGTGTTTATATGTGAACTGGTGTACATGTGTGTGTGCACAACATACCCAAGATGGCCACCGCTGTGCATGGTGCTCATTAAAAAGCCTCTCTCTCCTTCCACAACACGCTGAGAGCACAGACTGGCCAACGATGGGAAAAAAACACCTGTAAGACATCACGAGACACTCCGAATTCATCAAATATTCATGAGCTCAGGCAGCTCAGCCACCATTTATGAACAAAATGTAAACTAAAAGACCAGTGTAAAGGTGCTCCTAACAGCTGTAAACATTCACTGTGTAAAATACAACTACCTTGATGATTGATGTATAATTTTAGACAGGGTTTAAACTGCCAGTCAGGGAAAACAAGACATCTGAGAATTTGGAAATCGATGCATTTTTATTGTAAAATTTAGCATTTATTGAAGAAAATAATGTGCAGATTAACTGACAGTGGTAGTAATTAGTTGTAGCAGATTTTTTGTACTGTCTATTGAAACATACAGCTTGCATTAGGATGAATAAAAATAAATACATGCTTCCCTTTTCCATTTCCTCTTTCCTCCCCCTTTAAACCCTGCTTTGGAAACACATTTCATGCACACAGAAGTAGACCACCATTATGAAAATGGCCAAAACTACAGAACATTTGTATGTGCAGCAGTGTTACCATGTACGGCACTTGTTGAACCAAATTGACCTTTTTGCAAGTCAGTATGCTGCTTGAGGACATTTTGTTGCAAAAGGGAGGAGCCTGGACTCAAACTAACAATGCTGCAGGTGCTCCACCTGATAAGCCTCAGCTTCCTCAAATACAGCTCTGGAAATAACTATTAGACCACCTACTTTTTTTCTTTAGAGAGTCCACACAACTTGTTAGAATTTTATCACAGTGGGTCAATAATTACAGCATATTTGTAGGGCACATCCAAAAAAAAATATTTGAAAATAGGATGTAATAGAACTTTAAAACAAAACACAACAAAAAAAAATTAAATTCACGCCAAATGGCTGAAAACATTTTTGGGTCACCATTATTTTGTGCATAAATTGTATGTGCAAAATCCATCCATCCATTATCTATGCACCACTTAATCCTCTCTATGGTCATGGGGGGGCTGGAGTCTATCCCAGCTGACTTAGGGCGAAGGCAGGGGACACCTTGGACAGGTCGTATGCAAAATCCATATATCCAAAAAATCACCCAAAGATTCTTACTCAACAAAGCCTTACAGAAGAGCACTGTGAGATGATGAGAAGACGGATACAGCCAGAGAGCCGTTGCTAACCTACTATAAATCAGCAAAACAGCTATTACAACATTAACAGACAGAGGGCTGTGGTCACAGTGGTTTAATAATTATGTTTAATTATGTTGCAGGTACATATATTATACCTGCAACACCGGAGTCTGTATCTAAAGGATTTGTTCAGAGTTTGGGGAAAATGCAGCCTTTTGGCAAGAGTTACACAAAACAATACTGATCCCACGTCTGAGTAGTCATATGAAATGCTGCAGGTTAGCTTAGCTTAGCATAAACATATATAAATCTGCTTAAGCCACCTCTGGTTGGGAACATTCACTTCCTGTCATCTCTTCTGGTTGCCTAGCAACTGCCCTCAGTCCAGGACATTAAACACCGCAGCTTCCCATTTTTACTTTTTTTTTTTTTTTGGCAAAGCTAACAAATTGCATATGCCTGGTTAACTGTTGAGCTTTTAAAGTAGATTTTGTTTGCTTTGATCAGAACTGTGCTAGCAGTTTTACCCTGTTTCCAGTCTTTATGCTAAGCTAAGCGGCTGCTTTGCGTGTGCATGTACAGTACTTTGCATGTACAGCCGTAAGAGTAGTCTTGATCTTCTCATCTAACCTTTGGTAAGAAAGTCAACATGCTTGTTTTTTTAAATGTTGATGTGATGTGCAAGTGATTTATTCAACTGGTGCAGTACTCACCCTGCAACAGTCCCATAAGAAATCTGGCCACAGTCATGGCAGCGAGTGTGTGAGAGCCAAGGTGGGCCAGCAGAGGGGTGCTGGCTGTGATCAGAGCCCACGAGGCTGCAGAGATAACCAGGATGTGCTCTCCTCCCACTCTAATGAACATTCACAGAATGAAATCCTGAAATTTTTAACTTTTCATCTCCACTATGATATTTACTCAGTCTATACAAGCAGTCATACAGGTTTTACAAGCTGTATTACATACTTGTCACTGGCATGTCCTCCCAGTATCTGTGTGAAACAGTAGCCCCAGAAGAATCCACCCAGGACCAGGCCAGAATCGATTTTACTCCAGTGAAAAGCAGCTGCCATTGACACTGCACAGATTGGCATGACCATCCTGGCACAGTAGAGGAGGCAGGTGCCCATGAAAAGCATCAGGATCCATTTTTGCGCCACGGATCTGTAAAAAGTTTCTGCTTCATGATATCATAATATACATCGGGTAAGCAAAAGAAAATGGAAAATGTAGCTATAAAGCAGGTGAGTGTGAAGTGAGTGCCTTCGTTTTTACAGATACTCAATAAAAAATAAACAAAAATATAAAAAATAAATAAACAAAAAAATCTGAGGGGTCAATCCAACAGTTAAGATGTTTCACACAAATCTACACGTCAGATTTGTCAGATGTGAAATCAGAGTATCAACAAGGTCACTTGGGAACGATACATGCCTGAATGAAATTTTGTGCCAATCTAACTGTTAGATGTTGGGCTATTTGGCTTAATCGGGATGACCTGCTGGTGGCACCAGATGAAAAACCCACAGGTCGTCACTGATACCACACCAAATTTCATGGCAATCCACCCAGGCGTTGCTGAGAGATTTGAGTCTGGACAAAAATTGTCGACTGTTAAATCAACATAAACCAAAAGCCATACTTCTAACATGCCTAACAAAAATATTTTTAAAAAAGAGTGAGCATCAGTATTTGTCTCTGACGTTCTAGTAAATGCAACTTATGTAGATATCAAGGCACTTAAGGACATTTGTGTCAGTCAGGAAACAGCGTTATTTCGCTACATGCCGTTAAACCTTTTGAACTGTCATTTACCACAGACAGACGAGAACACCTCAGAGCAATCCTTAAAGGAAGAGCAGGTAAGCTGAACTACGGCAGCGCATTTTTAGTCTAATCTTCTGTGATCTCACCTAGGCCACAGGTTTTGCTCTTCCAGCTCATCTTCAATAGATCCATTGGGGCTATAAATCTTGGGACCCGACAGAGAGCAATTGAAGTCCTTGCTGTCCTCTCCTGATGTGTGGTTGCCAGCCATTCAGACAACACTGCCGTCTTCTCTGCTATCTGAGGAAACTCTTGCGTGCTGAGAAGTGTTTTACATGAACCTCATATCCTCAGGCAAACCAGCCAAACGTGTTGGGACAAAAAGCACCTGGCTGTGATTTGCAATTCTACAGGTACAAGTCTTAGCAACAGTGTCGCTGTGTATGACATTTGCATATGCTTCTATGAAGGACAGGGGTGCAGTTGTTGCTTTTCTTTTCTTCTTTTAACCATCAACAAGTTACATCAAAAGCTTGAAACAACTTTTACAGATATCCCTCCCCGAAAGCTTGATAAATATGACTAATTTTTCCCTTTGCATCCATGTACTCTCACAATTCTAGAAATAAAAAACAAGTCTTTATGATTCACAAAAGTTTTGTTTATTTTAATAATTGCAAATCTGATCTTAAAAATATGGAATAATAAAAGGGATGTGAGCTGTTTGATTCTCAGTATTTGCCAATATCTATAAAGACAATACAACCTTTAAAAAAAACTTAAGGATGGACAACTAGCAGCAAGTTTGTTTTTTATATATGTATATCTATCTATATATATCTATATATATACACACACACATACATACATATATATGTATAGATAGATAGATAGATGGATAGATATAAACAAACCAAACAAAATTAACAAGCACAAGTGCCTTTCCCCCATTGAAACAAAGTTACACTTACATGCAGGTAATGTGAAAATACTTCAAAAAGTGGGAAAATGACAGCACTCTTCAAAATACCTGTCCAGATTCTAAATTTATCAGCTTTGGATCATTATTACTTACTATAACAACATCACTGAACACAAGTATATGTTCCAGTCTGAAGCAAATCCAAATGTGAGAGTTTGAACTCGACAGCAGCTACAGTTGACAGCCCTGTCGTTCTTAAATATTTCTTGAAGCAGCACTTTCTCTCAAGCAGCGTATAAATCCTGCTTACATCAACGGGATGGGCAGAACTTAACCTCAAAACTTCTGTAGCATAGAAGCACACACAACCTTTTGCATCATCAGGTGCATACAGTGCATACTGTGGAGCTCAGAAAAGGCATAGTGAGCTCAACTCAGTAAGAAAGCCGTCACTGATTTTAACCCATCAGTCTGGACACATTTCACCTTCTCAAATACTTGTGAAATTGATGAATTTACAAGGCAATTCATACCATACACATATTGTAAAGGTACAATCAAATTTCACGGTGTAAAAAGCATGTGGCTGACTTTATAGCAAATTGCCAAACACCAAAGTAAATAAAATCCTAAATATTACATTAAGTAAAATTATATTACATTAATAAAGTGTAGCTTTCCATTTATTTGAAAAATAGTCACATTTTGTTTATGAAATTTAGACTTTAAACTCATTTCTGATTTGAAACAATCTATACTTCTGCAGTCTCAATCTAAACATATCTTCAGTACAAGAGGGCATTTATATCTTGCCGTTTCAGCCGTACTCCTCTGCGCCGTAGAGAGCCAAGGTTTTAGCCCCACACACACTATTAACATTGTTCATTCACACCATCAACGCTCTTTCTGGCAAAATAATGTTTTGGTGGGGAAAATGATCACAATAAATAATACTACCAGCGGAGGCTTTCAAAAGACAAAATATAAAACAGCTATTTGAATTTGTCATCTCCAATATCTATCTAAAAATCCAGGATCAGTATTTAAACTAAATAATTTCTGTCACTTTGCAAATACAGCAATTTACAGTTTGCACAATGAGTTAAGTCTTACCTCTCATGAATGGAAAATGAAAAAACAACGTAGCATTTGTTTATACATATATGTTACCTGGTTGTCTCACACAGTCACTGACTGATCATAAATTAAGGGGACGTGGAAGGTGGTTGTTCTTGTCTGTTATGTTCACTTGGGGTCCTCGATGGTGCCCGTGCTAAGGTCAGTCATTTTGGGATATTTCACCTTCTTCTGATCCAGCTCATTTTGAGCCCACAGCAGTAACTTCAGGAGTTTAGCCAGTTTGGGCGTTGACTCCCTGTTTTCATAGTCCAGCACAGCTTGGTTCACCTCACTCCACACCTGTGCATCAAGACATGAGCAAGAGTCAAAATAAGTAAACTACTTTCTTATTAAATGAGTTATCACCTACATTCACGGTGCTCTTATTGCTTCCTGGAAGCCTCTAACACATCTCTGCACCAGTCTTAAGTGTAGTTCAGAAACGTTACACTCTATATGAAGTGGGATTTTGCTTGATATGTAAAACATTAGTGTGCTGTGCGAGTATATTTGGCCATTTACACAATTCTCCAATTCAAACTGCCTGGATTAGTACTTTACTCTCCCAGAAATACATCTTTTGCTGTCTTAACTCTGTCTGTTTGAGGCACAAGAGTTGCAAATGCTAAAATTAGTCCCAATTAGTTACTTGTGACCACCAGAAAGATAAATAAACATATAGGTTGTAAAATGCACAACTTAGACCAAAATGTGCTAAAACTCAGACAGAAACAAGACAAAAAGTATTTCACGTAATAATGTTATAAATTTTTTTTTTTGTTTGTTTTTTTCCAGTGGTCCAGATCCAAAGAACTAAAGCTGTCCTATAATTGTTGCCTACATCTTAGATGTTTTTCAGATGTTATTGTGCTATAGTGACGTGAAACAAAATTACAGTGAGCATACCTTTTGCCGCTGCATCATGTTAAGCAGGTCTCCGAAGGGCGACTCTTCAGGGTTGTCAAAGGCCAGGAGAGCTAGTGTTCGCTCCATCTCTGTCAGACACTCTCGGCTCTCCTCCCCCTGCTCCGCCAGCTGTGTCTGAGCAAACTCCAGCGCTGACTCAGTCTCTCTTAGCCTGATTAACTCAATCAAATGCTGCTGCTGCAGAGGGGGGGAAATTAAGCACAAGTTCAAGCATTGTCTTGTCAAGCTTTATCTAATATCGCAATCATTTTCAATTTTCTATTTAACAGAAGAACATAATCTTGTCATGGACGATGGCAGTCTGGGATATAAAGAAGGGGTTAAATGTTTATTTCCATTTCAGCGTTGCCCAATACACCCCTCTCATTGCTGTTAAGAGGCGGCAATGCCCAAAATCTATAAAGTTCACCCCTGAGAAATTTCATAGACTTACCCTTCATAATAAGGAATAAAGAAGTCAAACGTGTAAACGTACCTGCAGGTGAAAATACAAGTATCGATTGGTGTCAAGGAGCTCTGGGTGTAGGCTGTTGATGAGTGCAATAGCTTCCTGTATCTGGCCTTTCAGGATCATCTCTCTAATCTTTATCCTTTCATCCAAAGAGTCCAGGTCCACACTTGGTTCGATACCAGACTCCATCCGAAACTTCTCCGCTGCCTCTTTGAAGCCCTCTTCAAACATGTAAAACAGACACAGATAGAATCAGATCCAAAATCAGAACACTTAGAAGGAATTTGACGCTGCCATTTTCATGTATGTATATCTACGTACAACCATAGATATGTGTAAAATAGCATGTTTAAAGTGAATCAGAGTTTTACAGCAAAATTAAAGTGAACCAGAGGCGAGTGAAAAATACAGTTAAGGTATTGACACTTAATATACACGAGGTAGGTGGACAGTGGCACAGAAATTAATAATCGTCTACTCTACAGGCTGTATACTGAGCTAACAGCCACTGTTTACAAGCTGATGCCTCACCTGTCACCAGGTAATTCATAATGAGCCGATTCATGTCCGCCCTCTGTATGTGAACGTTGTTTAATTTATCCATCCACTCTTCTTTTGTGATGTCCTCTGGCTTTTCAGCATAACTCATCATTGGGATCCTGAGAAGTAAGAAAACCATTGGAAATGTAGAGAAATGTGAGCAAGACTGACACAGCTTGGTCACACTTTGTACCTACACGAGCGGCAACGTTACAACCGTGCAGGGACAAATATTAAGAATTGAACGCAGAAAAGCTGAACACACAATTCAGACAAAAATGAGAATTTAACGCCACAGTACCTCTGCTACTTAAACAGCGCCTAGACGCTTGCAAGCGTCGCAGAAAAACGATAAGAGAAATTGTCCGAGGCTTCCAAAACAAACCCATTTCCTCCTGAGCAACAGCCCGGGCTAGTTAGCAGACCGAGCGTTTATACAACTTACCGTGCAAACACAAGGTCCGGCGATTATCCTCTCCAGCAGGCGTGAGAAGGCAGTTATCAGTTACCAATGCGCAATCCTCTCAGCGGTGAAAGAAGAATTAAACAAAAAACAGTAAACGACGGCCACACGACCAAGCTTTCCGAGGCTAGCTACCTCACCAAGCTAATGTGATAACCTCGCGATAGGAGCGTCGGTCCTGCGAGCGACGTGATTGGTCGGGGGCGTGACGTCACGGTTGCCGAGGAACAGTTACGGTCAGTGCAGCGACTGAAGCATCAGGAGCAGCAAGTTCACAAATAACACACACACACACACACACACACACACACACACACACACACGGTTTTAACAGCTCACAACAGCAGATTTTCTCCTCCTGGCAGTCATTATATGTAGCAACATACACATTCTTGACAAACTTTATTGAATTGGAGACACTACAGGTGAATAGGGTGATATGTTTAAAGGTTCCATGTTGTTTCTCTTTTCATCAAATGAATCAAAGTGTCACATGCAAAGATGGTTCATTTCACCATGACATGGCTTTATGGCTGTTCTAAGTGGGCTGTTTTGCTCTGAAAACCAGCTAGCTGCAGCTGTTGCTGCCTCCTTTCGGAAGAACACACGCCCCTCATCTCATTTTGCAAATTGTACATCCTCGATTTCTTTCCTCAAATTCTCTCCTCATGTCCTAGTCCCTCATAGCAGAGAGTCAAGAAGAGGAGGAGATGATGCAAGGACAGGGAGTTGAATCAACAGGTGTTAAGCAAAATGAGATGCACTGACCTCTGAGCTGTTTGAAGGTGACGTCAATTAAATACAACACATGGCACAGCTGCATCAGCTGGCTTTTTGTTTTTTGTAACCTACCACTATTTCATGTTCTCTGACAGATGAGCAGAACATTGTACATGACATCTGTCAGTATTTATTTACTTTAAATTCAATTCACAACATGGCAGAATGTTAGAAGAACATACAGATGTCATAGATTTTTATTTTTTACTTACAAGAGTTGTGGCATGCCAAAGATACAAAAAGTGAGTGGCATATTTTGATTAGGTGATGTGTCATAAGCACACATTTATCAGTGCCGACATGGTTTGTATATTCCAGATACACCTGTGCATCTTTTCTCAGAACTCCTTCAGCAATCTCCTCCATCCTTCATTCTCGAGATGCATTTTAGGGATGCATTTAAGAATTGGGACGTTCTTTGTTATAGCACACCAAGATTGATTTTTGAGTCATGGACAGGAGGACGGAGGACAGAGGAGGCTGAAATTAGTGAGAGGAGATGGGCCTGCTGTCTGTCTGTGTTTGAGCTGAGTTAGGAGTTACACAGCACATGGGTTGTATTCCTACCTGCATGTAAAGTTGGAAGGCTATCTAGCTTTTAGTTTACGCCTTCAAGTTCATAACAAGCACAAACCACAATAAAAATGGGTCGTCACCAAATGAGACTTTCTAACTAATGTCCCTTTTACGACATGTGCTTTCCCCCCTAATATGACAGCAATTGAGCGAGTCAACTTCATGCACCCTGCTCACTTGTTTTCCATGAAATATACAACAACAAGCGTTTTTTTGGACACATGACATGTCATTGACAACAGTGGCAGCTATGTTTGACTGTATCTTCACATAATGTTATTATCCTTTTTATTATAAAACGTTCACATTTTCTGTTGTCTCATGTGTGAAACCAGGTTTACTGACTTTACACCAAAATCCAGACATAATCAATGTGTTTTATTTTGTAGACACCTCAGTGAAGCTTTTTTTCAGGTTTTCTCTTTTGTTTTCTTATCTGTCACATTATGGCACAAGGCTGGTATTGTAACCTCATACATTCATGTTGGATCTTTCAAAGATTCAAAGGTCTGGGCCCTGGTGAGGTTGTAAGGCGCTTTGTTGTTTGCAACTTACAACTTCACTTGGAAATTACCGGCAGTACGCCATCCTTCCACAGGAAGGAGCTGCAGCATAAGACAATACAGTAATAACAAATGACTGTACACCGGTTCAGTCTGAAGGCCATTTAGTGTTGAACGGGAATGTTGCGATAAACAGGACTAATCTGCAGTCGATTTGGGTTCAGAATATGTCAACAAAAAATAAAATAAATAAAATGGCAGTGGAGGAGATGTGTGAATTTCTGCAGAGAATGTAGAAGAGCAGAGCAGCAGTAGAGCATTTCAGACACACTGATGATGCTTCGGGATGATGCTGGACTCCACTTTGTGACTGACAGTGCAGCTCTTCTCAGAGCAGTTCACACTCTGAGACTCCACTTCTTCGGATTCCTCTGTCAGTCACTGCTGCATGAAGCTCTCCTCTCCACCTCCCAGTGACATGGACCAGTCAGAGCATCTCTACACACAAGCTGCCACAAGCTGCTGCTGCTTCCACCTCTCTGGATTATCAGGACACAGCTCATCCTCTCAGTGTATACACCCTCCTGTTTACCATCTGCAGAGAGAAGAAGAAAGAACAAAGGAGATAAATGAGTGGTGGCAGAGACTCACTTCATCAGCTGTCGGTCAGTGATGAAGCACATAGGTATGAAGAGTAGTAGGGACTTCAGTCCTGTTCAGAAGAGCAGTGCAGCAGCTGTGGAGCGTAGCCAGCTTTATGTTAACATGTTGGAGAGAACATACTGAGCTACAAGCCACAGTGGAAATGACGCGCTGAGACTCACGAAGGCTTCATTACTGCATAAACTCCTCACTCATGGATTTACTGCAGCTCCATTTAAAGAGTCTCTGTGTTTATGAACATCTCATCGGTTTCTCAAGTATCAGCTGACCAATAAATATGTGGGTGATGTCTGAATAAAACCAGTAACAGGACACAGATACAGATGTAACTGCTGGACTTGAGCAGAGTTTCTAAGGACCACATGGTCAGTACATGTAATGATAATTCTCTGACATACCAGCGAGTGGTTGTCAGACTTCAGTTCAAACTCTTAATGTAGTAACAACTTAAAGCAGTGAAAAAAAAAAAAAAACAGATGTTCCTGAGTGTGGATCAGTAAAAATATAAGCCTTGAGAGCCATACAACGAAGTGAGATTAATGCTGTAATTAATTTTCTTTCTTGCATGGGTTGCTGTAGCAGCGCTTTTTACCATCAGGAATTTTTATATCCCACTTTGCTCTCTATCAAAAAACCTGTTGGCTGAAGTAGGTGACACGCCATCGGTCCATTTTGTGCAGAAGAAGAGTCGCATGATGCGTTTAAAGCCCCTTTTATGTGAATGTGCACTGAATCTGAAGCAGAAAGCCCGACTCAACAAAGATGGATGATCACCACCATCGTGATATTCATTATATCTGACTCCGGTTTTAGATTTTGTCGAGTCGACTTACACAAAGAAATGTTAAACTTTCTTTGTGTAATAGCCCACTGCTGTCTGTAGTTTAGTGTCACCACAACTTTCACATCATATTCATCCCAGCTAACATCTAGAACATGGTGTCTGACCTCAGAGTCTGCAGGCTGCAGTGTGGATTCTCCAGAAAACCACACAGCCGCTTCACTCCTGAATCCTGCAGCTCATTGAGCTCATCTCACACTAATATGAAGCTTCAGCAATCTGACTGACATAAATCAAGTGAGCAATGTTACAGACTGTTGAGCACAAAACTACCTCTTTGAGTAAATGTGATTCCACTGTAGCTCAGCAAAAACACTGTGGAAACTGACATTCTGACGTATCTGTGAAGCTCAGACTGCTGGAGCCTGAGATCAGTTTCACAGCATAAGACTCATACACAGCAGGACTGTGGAGTTTGTCCTCTGTCTTGTAATACTGGAGTCAAGTTATCAGGATATTTCTTTATAGACAGAAACATCTTGTGATTGTTCTCAGGAAAATGTTGAAAATTTATGAAGCAAAACTCAAAACTTCAGTTGAGAATCTGAACTGAATAAATAAAAAAAACCTGTCAGCAGTCAATGAACTGACCTCAGAGTCTCCAGTTTGCAGTTGGGACTCTGCAGTCCGGCAGAAAGCTGCTTTATTCCCGAATCCTGCAGGTGGTTGTCACTCAGGTCCAGTTCTGTCAGGTAGGAGGGGTTGGACAGAGCTGAGGCAACGACTGCACAGTGAGTGGCTGAGAGCCAACAGTCAGAAAGTCTGTCATAACACATGCAGAAAAATACAATAATGTGAGAGAGAGCACTTCATACTTTCTTGATGTACTATCAACCTAAAGAGATGAACATTTTGTTTTTACTGTGATTCAGGATATTCTGACTGAGTTTAGCTCAGTTACAGTTATGAAAGATGTCTCTCTTTGCTTCATGTTCATCAGTGCAACATTTACAAGTCAAATGCTACAGATATCAAACAGATTACTATCGTTAAATATGAACATTGACTAAATATTCAGATGTGGACGACAGACCACTGTGTGAATTTTTGGCATCAATATTCTTTTGAGAGCTTCTGAAGCACAAACATAATGAACCAACCAATGAGGTTGAATTGTTTCCAACATAATGTAATCACTAAAATATTATTGAAAGCCAAGCCCTTGGGCATTACAGAGATGTATTTTTTGTTTTCCTGGAATAAAAAATGAGCACACAATCATTTGAGCAGAAATGTGTAAATTTCTGGTCCTTGAGAAAAATCCGCAGCCGTCTTTGAATGGGTGCAGATGGGGAAGGAAGAGAGACTTGTGGAGGAACAAGGCTCCAAAACCCCCCCAAACTTAATTCTGTGGGCTTCCAAAGTGACATTGTGAGAGGGAGGACAAATTTTCCTACGTTTTGATGTAAAAATTATGTCTGTGGCATAAAAATTGTGGCCAGGGCGACAAGTTAAAAAAAAAAGTTTACTGTGTGATTTTTTTCTGAGCTGGTGATGTCATCACACATACACACCCATTGTAAAGGCTGAAAAGGGGTGAAAAAGTTGTCAAAGCTTGAGAGGAGTCAAAACTTGAGAGGTTGTCACGAAGAAACGGTTGAAGATATGGAAAAAGTAGAAACACTTTGAAATAGGGTACGGACGCGTCAACATTTTAAAGTTCAAATGGAGTCTCTAGGTGAAATTATGCCTGAGCAGTGGAGGTATGAAAAGTAGTGTAATTTGTGTGGTTTTCACGTCCGTCCGATTCATTTCCAATGGGAGATTTTTGCTACGTTTTCGCGAATTGCAT